AATTTTTTATTTAAGAAAAATATCATACAGGTTATATTTATGTTCTAGAATTAAATCAAGATGATTTTCATTCCAATGAATTTTTCCCATTGTTCGCATATCCACCATAGTCAGACCTTTACTTTCTTCCTCATTCCAATAGCTAACATAAATGAATTCTCCAATGTAGAAATTTACATCATACCAACCATCATTTACATTATCGAGAAACTGTAAAAATTCCTCAAATTCATTGAAGGTGAATGGTGTTGAATGTTGAATTCTTTCGGTTAGTTTGCAGCTCATACCCTAGAGAAAGACTAAACTTATTCGACTAAGAGGTCTGTATTTATAGAAAAGAACTTAATTATTTAAAAAAGTTTATTAGGTACTTACACAATATAATTATACAATAAATTCTTAATACTACATGGACTTAAAATAATTTTATGATATTAACAAGCTATTATCCAGCCTGGATCCTACACTGTCCAAAAAATTCTAAATTCGCTCTAGTTAGATAAATTAGGTTTAGTTTAGTATACAATCTAATAATAAAATCTTTTAAATATGTCCTTTAACGTAAACAGAACCTTGAGCATCCAAAACCGCAAACGTTCTACTTTTCTGTTGAATGTTTCATAGTGTCGAATGTTTCATAGTGTCTGCTTAGATCAATGTTCGAACATTACCGGATAAAGGTAAGTATTCAAAAACTCGATCATGTACGATAATACAACAGGCTCGTGTATCTTCCGAAAAATTCTCTGAGCTTTGGAACTCTAATTTGACATCAGTCGTGTTGCTTTTGAGGGATTCGTTCTGTTTTGAGCAGTCTATAACAAATAATGCCCTGTTGGCAAAATTGGGAAGGTCCAGCAATGGTTCACTATTGGTTTTACCCAAATACGTGTTTTGAAATTCGGTATACATCCGGTATGCTTCTGCAAACTGTTTGTCATCGAAATTAAGATTCAGTGATTCATACGGATAAACTTCAGAGTTTAGATACAGCTTGACATCTGTTATATCCAAATTATCGAAAAGAGTAATATCATACCGAGGATTATCTTTTCGTTTTTTCTGGAAAAAGACTATGACATATCTAGCTCTCTCAGACATGGATTTCACAGTCCACACGTCTCGCTTGGATTTTCTCAATGTAGGTAACTCATGAATCTCCCAACTTCTGAATGGAATAAATATGGGTTTGTTGTTCGAAATATCTTCCAATAATTTCAATTTTAAAACATCGTTTGGATAAATGCGCCTCACCCTCAATTCTACTGTGTCTAAAGTAATTTTTGCTGTTTTATCTCCAGTGGTATTGATGTAACAGTTATCATCATTTCTAGCTCTGACAAGTTTTATTTTCTGTCTTCCCATAATAGCCTTATTGTAATCGGAAAAGATATTCAGTAAAACTTTCAAGGGTATTAGAAAATTGAATTTATCCCCCGCTAAAGATTTTACTGTTCCACTAGGCCAATTCCATCCAGCTCGTTCGAGTGCTCTACTTTCTTGATCATTGAGGCATAGCAGGTTTCTCACTGTGCTGGTAAGCCCCGGATCTCGAATTTTATCAATTTCCTTGCCATTTAATTCATAAGCGATGGATTCAAAAAGGAATGCGCCTGCATTAATTGTTAGATTACATTTTCCTGTCTTTCCAGCGGTAACGTCTTCATTAAACTTTCCTTCAATGTAGACTTCGGCTTGGCTGATATCTATAAATGCATCTTGTTGATTGATAACAATTTCTATTTCATCACTATAGTTGAAGGCATTAGTGAAGGGGTGGTAAGTATGCCATTCCTCTCTCGCTACAGACTCATCGGTGTTGACCGACTGAAATATTTGCAGTTTTCCTGATACGATATCCATATTTGGAAGTTAGAGATCTCAACCCAATCAAACTTTTATGTGTGAGCGCTTGCTTTGACGGTTGACTGCAGACTGAGCTCGAGTTATTAACACCACTGTTTAAATAGTCACCAGTTTTATTAAAAACCAGGACCATATTTCTTAAGCTCTAATCTCACTATGATCTCCTCTCCTCGGAAATTAACTGGCCGTCCTTCTTGATCAAGTATATTAATTGTTATATTATCTATACTGTCCCTATTGATAGGTAGATATATCAAGTTTCGAGGATCTATTATAATTCGGTATCCAGGATCCACAGCTGGAGGAAATTCGTATAACGTATGTGAAGGATTACTATTGAAGTAGGAACCAGAGATGATGTTGCACTCTATCCGTATACTAGCCACCGATATTATCTCAACTGGCAGATCGGATTCGTGTAGATAATTCTTTTCCAGAGATTTTTCTGAAAATCCCAAAAGTTTTCCTATACTATCCTCAGGCTTGAAATTAATATCATATATAGCCTTTAGTTCACACTTCAATGTATTGTTGTTTGGTTTAAGAGAAATATTTTCTGTTGTAGTCGTACTTAATTGTTTTTGTAGATAGGCTTCAATATCGGTAACCTCGTACGACCCGGTTGGGATTTCTATTATTTGTTGTTTTCCTGTAACGCTATAGTAGAACTTGTTTCGACCTGGTTCAATGTTGGGAATGGAATTCCACGTACTGAGTGAGATGAGAGCTAATGAATAGTTATAACTAGAATCAAGCTTGATGGGTGGTGTAATATCAACACTCAAGCGACTTGTTCGACCTTTCAACGTGAATGTCTGAGACATGACTGAAATAAAATCAAAACACAATTGCTTTATATAGATTTATTAAACAAAAAACCAAGTACAAGATGTCCACAATTGTAGGAGTTATATGACTGATACTGATCATAGTTGAAAAGTATCTTACAATTTTTAAAATAACGAACGAGTTCTTTTGGTGGATTTAGGTTCCCAAAACTATCAAAGTAAACAACAGTGTTTTCCTTTTTCTTATAAGCTACCCAATGTGATCCCGATCCCATATTCGTATCCAAATTAAGAACCCCGCATTCGGTTTTCTTTGAAGACGATGGTAAGGTATCTCGCATAAACACGCCTCTAAAATTGAAAATTTTAAGTTTTTTAACGTATCGCTTGATATCTTGATCACTTAGTGGACGATCGGGTAGCTTTATTGGAAGTTTTTTGACATCTTTTTCAGGTAAAGTCCATATCCGGTCTTGTGTTTACTAAGATATAATCCACTCCCTTTTTTTCCTAACGCAATAGCTTCCATCATTTCGTTGTGTCGTTTGGACTCGACAAGTTTATCTTTCGCAGAACGAGCGTCATTCACTGCTTTTGCCACCCCTGCCGCGCCCCCACTTAAAGCGCCCAGCGCGCTAAGTCCGGCAAACAGAGGTATAAGAGGAATAATTCCACCTACTTTTGGTACTGGGATAACTCGTGGAACTCGAATCTTTTTGGGTCCACCAGCTTCTTTGATTGTCTTACGAGCTGCTTGAAGCGCCGATTTAATAAATTCTTTTATTCCTCTACCACGATGCTTTACTTGCTTTCTAATATTAGCCACAACATAGGATTTGAATGGTTTCAAACTTTTCGATCGAGCCATGCTGAGTTTACGTTTAGTTTTCTTCTAACCGAAATTGCGAAATCCTATCCTTTCACCCGTTCCCACGATATATTTTTTAGCACTTTATCTGGCCGATGTCTGTGTTGTAGATCCGTGAATTTCAAAAGAAAGCTTGTTGATGTAGCTATTTAAAGGACCTACACTCGATGGTGTATTCATTAAGAATGAAACAGAGGTAGAGTGAACATTGTTTATATACGATGCGGAAGATGAAGCAGAAAATCAACATAAAGATCGATAACTTTGACATTAATAAGTCCACTAGTGTTAGAAAGAGACATGGAGAACTTTTACCAAACACAATTAGAGCAATAATATGCGGGCCAAGTAATTCAGGGAAAACAAATGTTATGCTTAGTATGTTAACCGATGAGAATGGACTTAGATTCCGAAATGTATATGTATATTCCAAGTCATTGGACCAAGAGAAGTATAAGTTTCTGAAAGAGGTGCTCAACCGTGTTGCTGGTATAAACTTTTATGGATACAGTGATAATGAAACCGTTTTAGATCCGCAAACAGCTAAGTCAGATTCGGTGTTTATATTCGATGATGTGGCTTGTGAGAAGCAAGACAAGATAAGAAACTATTTTTGTATGGGCCGCCATAATGCTATTGACTGTTTTTATCTTTGTCAGACGTATTCAAAAATACCTAAGCAATTGATTCGTGATAATGCAAATATGATTATAGTATTTAAGCAGGATGACACGAACCTGAAACATGTGTACGACGATCACGTTAACACAGATATGTCTTTAAATACGTTTAAAACTATTTGTTCTGAATGTTGGAAAGATAAATATGGTTTCTTAGTCATTGTTAAAGATGATGATATCACGAGCGGTAGATATCGAAGTCAGTTCAACACCTATATATCTCCATAGAAGACAAATTCTCCTCAGTATCCCTTAAGACGTCGCTGTGTACAGACCCCTGCAATAGCTGTACCATAGCTGTCTCTGAACTAGTGTAGCTGTCTAAAAGCTGTCTCCTACCCTGCATAGCTGTCTAAAAGCTGTCTCTAGACCTGTATAGCTGCCTAAAAAAGCTGTCTTCTGACCTGTATAGCTGTCTAAAAAGCTGTCTCCGGACCTGTATAGCTGTCTAAAAAGCTGTCTGCTGACCTGTAAAGCTGTCTCTAGACCTGTATAGCGGTATACGGACCTGTATATAGCTGTATACATACCTGTCTCCGGACCTGTATAGCTGTCTAAAAAGCTGTCTGCTGACCTGTAAAGCTGTCTCTAGACCTGTATAGCGGTATACGGACCTGTATATAGCTGTATACAGACCTGTCTCCGGACCTGTATAGCTGTCTAAAAAGCTGTCTGCTGACCTGTAAAGCTGTCTATATACCTGTATAGCGGTATACGGACCTGTATATAGCTGTATACAGACCTGTCTCCTGATCTGTGTAGCAGTATAAAAGACAGTGTAAAACCTGGTTGGAAATCATGGCTTCGGTTCCAAGCGAAAATGATAGGAATATCAAGAAGAAAATACTGAACGCTGCTAGATCTATAAGAAAAAAGTATTTGGCTTTAAAGCTGGAGAGAAAAGAGGAAGATGAGGCACTTGATAGGATAATAAACCCTATAACTGAACCTCTAAGAGAGTTTGTTGAGAAAACGGTTGGCAGAAAAGTCCAAGTTAAACATGAAAAAGTTAAGCTCGAAGCTCCTAAAACGTATTTTGAATCTGAACCGAAACTTCCTAGAAATGTAGAGTTCCAACCAGCAGAGATTATTGCTCAAACGAGTGAGAATTTAATAAGTGATGATGATGATGATGATGATGATGGCGCTGAGGATGTCTTTTATGAACCCTTACAACATTTGAAAGAAGATCTGCAGAAATCAATTCACGATAGATCAGGAGCGTATGAAGAATTTTTAGATCAGTATCCCAAAGTAGCACAAGAGTATGTAGATAGATACTATAAACAATCAGATGAAATAGACCATTCTTATGGCTTGAAACATGATATGAAAACCGATGATTGGTCTATGGGATCACAAAAAGTCAACTTTCTCCCGAATGGAGATATTAAAGTCGGGGCTGTATCTTATAAAGGAACGCAGGGCTTATATGATCTTTTATTTCTGAAAAAGCCGATCTATCAGACAGAGGATGATAAGTTGCAGTTTACGGATATTTTAAACAGGACCAATGTTCATCGAAGAGATTTTGATCCATCCAAACAAGTTAAAGGGTCCACATCTTCAAAATATAGACAGTTTGTTAAACCTTTGGTCTCATCATCATCTGAAGCAAAAAGGCTTAAATCAAGTAACAGTGCCTCGCCATCTGGCCGAAATCCATCTACAAGATCTCAAAATAAATCCGGAAGTGCTTTATTATTAGAATATAATGAGAAACGAAAACAATATGTTTATTACGATGACGTCAACGAATTAATTGATAGACTTGTTAAATTGGATGCATCACAAAAAGCTGGAAATACCAATAATATCAATGAGATTATGAGTATTTTAGAGGAACTGGCTGAATTGGGTGTGATTGAGTTTAATAAATAGTTCTACATGTGTTATCTTGAATCATTATAGGGTTAGCCACTTTCAAGTTTAGATCTCTTAACATTTATGTACTGTGAGTCACAACGAAAAAAAAATGAAAACTATTACAAAGGCTAGGGAACGGGTGGTTGAAGAACTACATAAGCCAGCACGTAAAAAGTTTAATCGTAGAAAATTTATACAGTATGGTCTGGATGATACTTTTGCCACCGACTTGGCTCAGCTTGATCAGTATGCTCGAGAAAACAAGGGATTCAAGTACATATTGGTTGTTATCGATTGTTTTTCTAAATTTCTGTGGACTAGAGCTGTAAAATCGAAATCAGCGCAAGATGTCGCTAAAGCTATGGAGAGCATTTTGAAAATTTCCAGAAGAATACCCAAGAAGCTTATTTCGGATAATGGAAAGGAATACTATAATATTCAATTTTCGAGTCTAATGAAGAAACATGGAATACATCATTATAGTTCGTTTAGTCCTCTTAAAGCATCTATTGCAGAGCGAGTAATTCGAACCATTAAAGAAAAGTTGTTTAAGCAATTTACATTAAACGGAAACCATAAATGGATCGATTTATTGAAGCCTGTTACCGATGCATATAATGACCGCAAACATAGCACGATTAAAATGAAACCAAGCAAAGTTACTAAAAATAATGAAAAAACACTACTTAATACTGTTTATAGTCATATTAAGGTAGCTGGAAAACAGAAATTCAAGGTCGGTGACGTAGTTCGCATAAGCAAGTTCAAGCATGTTTTTCAGAAAGGATATACCCCAAACTGGACTACGGAATTGTTCCACATAGCTAAAGTGAGAATTACAATTCCAACAACATATTTGTTAGAGGACTTGCAAGGTCGGCCTATAAGTGGTGGTTTTTATGAAGAAGAACTACAGAAAACAAAACAACCTGATGTGTTTCTTATAGAACAAGTATTACGAAAGAAAGGAAATAAAATGTATGTAAAATGGTTGGGATTTGAAAAATCTCATAATAGCTGGGTTGACAGGGATAAAGATCTAGTTTAAAAGCGGATTTAAACGATTTGCAACTCATTTGTAATACTGAGTGTGAAGTATCAAGTTTGCAAAGAAAGTAGTCCTTCTCATTCACATAACTTAAGTCATAATCATAAAAATAAGTATTGTACGGTAATTTAACATGACAACACCAGCAGATATTGATTGTATGGATAGTGAAGATGAGAGCTGCTCAACCTGTTCCTCACCTAATTGGAAGTATGTCAATAGTATGTTTTTGATGAGTAAACAAGAAATCATGAAAAAATCAACATTTTTGGGGGAGACTTGTTATTCAACCAAGAATTTCAAAATAATTTCTGGAATAAGTATTGCTCGAGGACTAATTCCTAGCCTAAAAGTCACAAGTACAATTCTAAATCTACCTCAAGAACAAGTGTCTGTTTCGTTTAGCTATATAGAATGGTCCAAATTTCTGGATATTGTTACATCCTTCATGGAACTTTCTGGAGATGGTAGTGATGTCATAAAAACTGTTTCATTATCGGATACCATCATTGTTTCTACAGTTATGTGTTTTGGAGAGAGAATTATCAAGTTAACAAGCGGAGAAGTTGATTTATGTTTTTGTATAGACGATATAGAATCCATTTCATATATCCGAGAAATAATAGATTATAGGTTAAGTTTACTTATAGAACTAGATTTTAGAACTTTTTATGATAATAGTTTAAAATATTATAATGTAACCATTGTTAACGAAAATAATTTTTTAAGTGTCATAAAAGAATATTGTAATTTATATATATGTGAATTATCCTATTTTATGTTAGAATTCGTATACCTCAACCCGGAAAAAATAGTTATGGATTTCAAGAAATTATGTGTTTTAGATATCTAGTGATGTAATAATAAGGATGTGAACTTGTGAAAAATAATTTTTATGCAATAAATTCTTTAAAAACATTCGTTATTTTATTTCCATTTTAGTTTTCAGGATAAACTACAAGAGAGAGAGAGAGAGAAAGAGAGAGACAGAGATAGAGAGAATAAGAGTTTGTAGCAGTAGACATTCAATTTAGTATCATCATGTCTGTCGATAAGTTTGGTCGTTCACAGCGCTTAAAAACTGTTAACGAGTATAAAAATTTGGTGTTGAAACGACGTTTGGAAAACCAATCACAAGATTATGCAACGAAATCCTATATGGATAAATCATTGAGAGAATTTTTGGAAAAATTTAAAACAGATTCTGAAAACCAGAAAAAAGTCACTGAGTCACCCTCACAAGAATTATCTGGAAAGTATAAGCAGATAGAATCTTTAATCAAAGATAATCAAAAGAAAATTGAAACTTTGACAAATAAGAGCCACTCGTTTGAAAATGATTTTAAAACAGTGAATTCTTCAATGAAAGAAAGTCAAAAGAAAATTGAAAGTTTAGCCACTATGAACCAATCGATTAGCACTGATATCAAAAACAAATTGGCTCCAAGAATAGCTGCCTTGGAAGAACAACATAAGTTATTTAATATAACACCTTCATATATAAGTATTGGTGACAAGAGAATAGTCAGAGCTTCCAAAGCTATAAACGATAACGATTTAATCACGAAAGGTCAGGTGATCAAAATGATTAACGAGAAGCATCCTGTTTTACCAGCAGCAGTGGCGAATAAAAAGGGAAAAGGAAAGGGAAACTAAAGATGAAGACTAGAACGGGAATCAACTGGAATCACACTACTTGTATTTATTTAGTTTATGCTCATAGGAAAAAGTCAATGTTCTTGATGGTTCAATAAATTAATTTTACGGGAAGCCTGGGAACTTTTTTGATACTGTGGGAAAATCTCTAGATCGGCGGCGCCTTTATTTTGAAGTTTCGAAGGTTTGACCTAGGCGAACCCCAATTTTGAGAATTTAAAAATGGATCCGAAATGGGATGGAGTATTTTCATCAACTTCCAGATTTGCAAATGGACCAGCAACATGCAAATTGGAAAATTGTTCCAAAACCAGTGTATCAAGAATATAATATTGGAGACATTGTGCAAATTATTTATAATCCTGAGAAAACGGACATTGTCTTACACCACAAGAACGAAACTTCTATACCATTCACCTTCAATGAATTTGAGGAATTTTTACAGTTTCTCGATAATGTAAATGATGGTTGGTATGATGTAAATTTCTACATTGGAGAATTCATTTATGTTAGCTATTGGAATGAGGAAGAAAGTAAAGGTCTGACTATGGTGGATATGCGAACAATGGGAAAAATTTATTGGAATGAAAATCATCTTGATTTAATTCTAGAACATAAATATAACCTGTATGATATTTTTCTTAAATAAAAAATTGAAATAAAAAAATTATTCTGGCCTATTTCTTTTTCTCCTATACCAAAACCACAATAAATATCCCATAAATAAAACAACTACCTATGTAGAAATATAAAGTGTTTTTTATTATCAATATTTCTACAACAAAAAAATAATAAATTCCTCCTGAATCATTATGTCTTGATCTTGTTGATGCGTTTTGACGTTTTCTCGATGCCGTTAACTCTAAAAATTGAAAATGTTTTTAGTATTAATTTAATAATTTATATGGTATACTTACAATTCAACAACTTTGAAAATTGGTGTTGGATTCAGGCCTTTAATATCTCGCATGCCTTTAAATTTCAATCCAAATTTCCCAGCCTCGAAGTGCTGAACGTTTTGTTTAATTGAATCGGTTGCACGTTGAGGAAGAAAGGTAATGTTTTTATCCATTTCTACTCGGGCTACTTCTCCAAATTTTGAATTCACTATAGTCATACCCCGAATTGGATAGGGATGCTCTGGAGTCAAATCTTGTAGCTTTAAGTAGGACTTTTCCTCAAGACAGGCTGCTTGGTTAATTTGGAGTAAATCCATTATTAAACTAAAAATAGAACAACGTATTATTATCAGGGTCTTTAAGAATAATGAAAAAAATTACTTACATAGTTTTTAGCACTAAATACACACAATCAATTATAACTGAGGTAACGCCCAATTTTGAATTAAGTTTTCGTTGAAAAATTCAATCTGGATGAGCACTGAAGAAAAACTTTGTGTCACCTAGGGACGTTAAAATCTAACTAAAATTTGAAAATGAATAACAACAACTAGCAGGCCAGCCAGCTGCGTTTCGTTATCGTCGCAGGAAATGCGGCTTCCGTGTGATAAGCAAGTTCGCACACAAGTTGCTGTTCTTCTTGTTGTTTGTTTATGAGAACGGTAGAAATTATAATTATTTTAAAAATAATATTTGGGGCCCCCCAATTAAATCGTTACAAGTCCGTGAAAAATGGGGCCCAAATTGGAGCACTATTTTTTCAATGATGATGATGATGATGATGTCTTTTATGTGACCATATTTTTAGTTTAGAAAAATGGGGCCGACGACGACGAAAAAAGGGGGCCCAGTACGGCGTATCTTGGTACGAGGTACCAGGTACGAGGTAGCAGGTACGAGGTACCAGGTACGAGATACGCGGTATCAAATTTCAGGTTATGAATTCTAGGTACGTTGTACAAATTTCAAATTACCAGCACGAGATATGGGACATCAAATTTCAGGTTATGAGTTCTAGGCTACGTGCGCCTCAAAATTTGGGGGCCTGTATTGGTTCCATATACGATGATGATGGATAATGGGGCCGCGGGTCTAGCTGCGGAGACAAGTGGCCCCTTTCCGATTTTTCCCTAGATTTAGGGAAATTTTATTGGCAACGTCGCACATTATCAGTTCCGGCAACGTCGCACGTACCTGTCATCTCGTATGGGGTATCTCATTTCAGGTTATGAGTTCATGTAAATGAGGCCCCCGAAAAAAAAAATGGGGTCACGGGTCTAGCAGCGGGGACAAGCACGTATGGCCCCTTTGATGACGTCACTTATTGGGTTAGGTCTATTCAAATTGGGGGCTTGCTACTTAGATTAGGCCTCTTTAAATTGGGGCTTGCCAAAAAATGGGGCCCACGAAAAAATGGGGCCACGGGTCTAGCTGCGGGGACAAGCATGTGGCCCCTTTGATGACGTCACTTGGGTTAGGCCCCTTCACTTGACGAAAAATGGGGCCCACCGAAAAAATGGGGCCCTGGAATGGGGCACAGGCCCACCTGGTGGAGGCCCCTTCAATTTGGGACTTCTCTGATGACGGGCGCGGGCCCCAGAACGAGAATGGGGCCACTTCCGGTCTAGAACTCTCCTAGTATGACTACTCAATCGGTGGCGGGCTTGCTCGTCATCGTACAAATTGGTGACTCTGAATAACTTTACGCTGATCGCACGGTCATCGCACCGGCGACGCATCTTTCAAATGTCTGCCTTATCAACTGTCGATGGTAGGTTCTGCGCCTACCATGGTTGTAACGGGTAACGGGGAATCAGGGTTCGATTCCGGAGAGGGAGCCTGAGAAACGGCTACCACATCCAAGGAGGGCAGCAGGCGCGCAAATTACCCACTCCCGGCACGGGGAGGTAGTGACGAAAAATAACGATACGGGACTCATCCGAGGCCCCGTAATCGGAATGAGTACACTCTAAACCCTTTAACAAGGATCAATTGGAGGGCAAGTCTGGTGCCAGCAGCCGCGGTAATTCCAGCTCCAATAGCGTATATTAAAGTTGTTGCGGTTAAAAAGCTCGTAGTCGAATTTGTGTCTCGCGCCGCTGGTTCATCGTCCGCGGTGTTAACTGGCGAGTCGCGAGACGTCCTGCCGGTGGGCTTAGCTCGCAAGGGCGGCCCAACTCAATCCTGCCGCGGTGCTCTTCATTGAGTGTCGAGGTGGGCCGGCACGTTTACTTTGAACAAATTAGAGTGCTTAAAGCACGCTAAAACTTCGCCTGAATACTGTGTGCATGGAATAATGGAATAGGACCTCGGTTCTATTTTGTTGGTTTTCGGAACTCCGAGGTAATGATTAATAGGAACGGATGGGGGCATTCGTATTGCGACGTTAGAGGTGAAATTCTTGGATCGTCGCAAGACGGACAGAAGCGAAAGCATTTGCCAAAAACGCTTTCATTGATCAAGAACGAAAGTTAGAGGTTCGAAGGCGATCAGATACCGCCCTAGTCCTGGTACTAACTATAAACGATGCCCGCGCGCGATATGTAAGGTACTTCCCGACTAGCTAGAGAGTTGAAATTTTCTGGGCACTTAGAAATTTTAATTTTGTCGAGAAAAAATCAAGCACGTCCCCCCCCTCCCCTGGGGGACCCTGGGGGGGCTGTCAAAGTTTTTCCTTTCGACCCCTGTACAGCTCAAACGGGTGGGGGGAAAAAATGAAATTTTGAGGGGATGTAGAGAAAAAGTTCCTCTATCGAATGGATGGGGGGGGGGGGCGAATTTTTAAAAAATTTTGGATGGGGGGAAAAACATAAAAAACGCGATATCTCGAGAACGGACCCCCTTTCCGATCTAAAAATGACGCCCCTGTGACTTCGTGCAGTGAAAAAATCGCCAAAATCTCCTAAAAAGGCCGCAGCCGCCGCAAAATCGACAGCCGCCAAGAAAGCTGCAGAAGAGAAAAAGGCTAAGCCCGCAGAGAAAAAGGCTAAGCCGGCTGCCGCAGCTGCCAAAATTAAGACTCCATCGAAAGCCAAAAAGTCCAACAAGGCCAGGCCTACCAAGAAACCGAAGGCACCGAAACCGAAAACTGCCAAAGCGCCAGCTGCAGCTCCAGCGAAGGCAAAAAAGACGGCGTCACCCAAGAAGAAGAAGAAGTAAATAATCGGTCGTTTTTTACTACGACTCCGAGGACGATGCACGTTTTTTGTGCACATGTGTTATTGAAAATCGGTTCTTTTCAGAACCACAACCACTATTCAGAAAGAAAATCGTTTTTTATTGCTTTTTATTTATCCGAGCGAATTTATTATTATTATTATTATTATTTTTTTGCAACCATAGGTAGGTATTTCCTATTGGCTATTATAGGTCCATAGGTAGGACCTATAATGTCGAAATTACCGGATTTTCAAAAATCCGTAAACGTCACGACGCTACCAACCTACTATCCCTTTTCGATTTCGTTCACTCAAATCAATTTGCTAATTTACTTATACCTTTGCTGATGTCACCAAAAAAAAAATGAGAACGCTTCGTCGTCAGATAAAAACGTGCCAAAACAACGATTTACACATTTCTATAGGTAGGCATGTTTATTCGATTTTTTTTTTTTTCTAATTAGCGAAAAATCAAATAACTAACAGGTAGGTAGGTATATAACTATATAGTTCCTATACAGAAAACGGAGGGATGAAAGTTTTCGTCCCTGTCTCGAGATTATCGGTGTGAATAAAGTAAGAGATTAGGTATTTTATTTTTCTTTCATAAAGGCGATTGTGGCTCTGAAAAGAGCCGTTTTTCAATGTCTTCCATAGCAAAAGTCCATTTACTTGGAGCTCGTGTACTTCGTTACGGCCTTGGTGCCTTCGCTGACGGCGTGCTTGGCTAATTCACCGGGCAATAACAACCTCACTGCGGTCTGGATTTCTCTGCTGGTGATGGTCGATCTCTTGTTGTAGTGAGCAAGACAGGACGCTTCGGCAGCGATCCTTTCGAAGATGTCGTTGACGAAAGAGTTCATTATAGACATGGCCTTACTGGAAATTCCAGTATCGGGATGAACTTGCTTCAAAACTTTGTAAATGTAGATAATAATAATAATAATAATAATAAAAGGACTTTATTAAAAAATTGAAAAAAAAATACAGATACAATAAGTTGAATACATAATTTTAAGTAAGGTTGGTATAAAGAACGGGTTGCTACCCCGTGGCGAAGTCTAGCACCAGGAGCTATTTTTACTCAACCACAAAGAAGGCCCATTACTTTATGTAAAATAAAACAGGTGTTCCCAAATGGTACCGCACCAATTAAAAAAATTCCATTTTTTGTTGTTTTATTAGTTGTTTTTTTCTTGCTCTTCCGTGCATCGACCATCCCACCGCACAACATTTCACTATCACTCCAATCTATCTTTTTCTTTATCTATTATTATGGGATTGAATAGAAAACAGAAACTGCCGGTATTTAATCTTAAATTGATGTACATTTAGTTGTTTTAATTCATCTAGAGTCTCATTATAAAATTTAATGGCTTTGTAAATGCAGCTCCTTTGATACACACAAGTTCTGAAAGGAGGGACCTGATACTGTTTTTTGTGTCTAATGTATACATTATGAAGAGTGGACCGAGGAATAAATTTATTTTTTAGAATTTTAGATGAGCTATCCGTTGTTAGAACACAATGGACAAAGTTGGCGAGGTGGTGTTTCCTACGGTTTTCCATATTTAGCCAAGAGGCATCTGTCACTTTCTGGGAAATTCTGTCAAACTTCTTTAGACCGTAAATCAGTCTACAACAGTTATTTTGCATTTTTTGTATTCTGAATTTATCGTTGCTGTAAAGGCAGTTGCTATAAAGAAAATCACAGTAGTTACAGTTTGACAGAACCAGGCTTTCACAAAGATTTTTTTTAAGTTTTAAGTCCAAAATATGTCTATTTGAATATAAGAGTTTAAGAGAACAGAATGCTTTTCTGCTTATATTTTTGACATGCTCAACAAATCTTAAATCTTCGTCAATTGTAAGGCCAAGACTTTTGACAGAAGTTTCGAATGGCAGCAGTACGTTATTAATTTTTACGCTGAGGTTTTGCTTAATAAAATTCCGATATTTAGTTTTCCAAAGCATATTGCCTGTGATTTTTTGGAATTGAGTAAGAGGTTGTGTTCCTCTGATAGTTGCTGAATTTTACTTAGTTCGTTGTTAATTGTATTTTCCGCTTCTGCGTAATCCGAAACTTTAAAGTGATGGTAAATTTGCTTGTCATCCGCATAGGCCGCTACAGAACAGAGACTTACGGAGTTGAGGATGTCGATTGTATATATAATAAACATAAGGGGTGCTAGAATAGAGCCCTGGGGGACTCCACTTAAGATAGCAGAATTTTGAGAAGACACTCCATTGAAACTTATTTTTTGAAACCTCTCCGAGAAGTAAGACTTGATCAAAGAAACAGAGTCATAATCAAATCCATAAACTTTTAATTTTGAGCACATTAATCGATGGTCTATTGTATCGAAGGCTTTTGAGAAATCCAGCAAAACAAGCACGCTAATCTCTCCTGAATCCCAGGCTGACATAATATCATCCAGTATTGTGGTCAAAGCGGTTGCTGTGCTGAAATTTTTTCTGAAGCCGCACTGAGTGTCGGGAAGAATCTTGTTTTCAATTATATACTTGAAAATCTGGTTATATAGGACACGTTCTAATATTTTGGACATAGCTGGCAACAAACTTATTATTCTAACATCGGCAAGACTCTGAGGATTTGTGTTTTTAGCCAGTGGCGTACCAATTGATGTTTTCCAGATCTTAGGAAAGTAGTTTTGCTCGATACAACAATTAATTATGTTCAAGAAGTAGTACAGCAACAGGGGTTTCACCATCAAAATCCGACCATAACCTCAATCTTTCATTCTTGACACGTGGTGGATGCGCCGTCGTCGACACGAAGGTGGATGCATCGTCGGCGCCATCTTGTCAAACGTCATGGCGCCATCTAGCGTACATAGTGTGAAGTTCGTAATACAGGATGCTGTAGTTGGGGGCCCGCAGGGCTCCGCCCCCACCAAAAAAAGGGGGCCCGCAGGGCTCCGTCCCCAAAAAGTGCCCGCAGGGCCGCGCCCCCCAAAAAGGGGCCCCCGGATTATATTATGGGTACCAGATAAAGGGGTGGGGGGAAATGTTTTCCCGCCATCTTGTCAACCGTCAGCTGTTGAACGTCATCTGTCAAACGTCATCTGTCAAACGTCATCTGTCACCTGTGATGACGTCATACCGGGTGAGTGCAGTGAATTCTTACAATTACAGTTTCCTGTAATATGGAGTTTGCGTGGAAGGAATTGTTCCGAGTCGTTTCGAAATCGCTACGTATAGTTAATTATGGTTCGGGGAATTACAGTTTCCTGTGATATGAAGTTTGCGTGGGAGGAATTGTTCCGAGTCGTTTCGAAATCGCTACGTATATTTAATTATGCTTCGGTGATGACGTCATAGCGACCTGGGTCACGTCTATTTTTGCATCAAACGCCTATCATTTCGTAAACACGCGTTATATAATTTTTTACTTATATGGTCACGTCAATGTGTGTCGGTGGCGCCATCTAGCGTACGTAGTGCGACGTGTCCTATTACAGGATGCCGTAGTGGTAAATAAAGAAAATTCGTGAAACTCAAGGTTGCACAACATCGAGTGATCGAGTCGACAACGTTTAATGTCGGAGCGTTATAAACAAAGGTATCATATTTCACAGTTTATTTCACTGATAAGCATTTCCGTTCTAGCGAAAATAACAAGCTGGGACTTGCATCTAATATTTTGTTGATGAAAAAAGGATATTTTCACTGCAGATTAACTATGGGAAATTTAATGAATTAAATGAGTCACACTGGTTTTTTTTTTTTTTTTCGAATTAAAACCTATTTATTTATTAAACCATTGGGTACATTGACTTTTTCCAATATGGTACGTTAAATTCAATAATAATATTACGCAGCAAATGGCAATAAATATGACTACATTTAAAGTGGATTTCGGTGCGATGTCGTTGTCTGATAAAGTCTTATGGGAATTATTGTATGTTTCTTCTTGCTGTTGTGGTTCTCTGATGAGAGTTCTCCATTCGGTATCTCCAACAGTTTCATCATGAAAATGCAGCCTCACCTTGTAACGCAGGTACGCCAATGACGTCGACGACGGTATACGAGTCGTAAAAACTGCTAAATGGCCCTTATCTATTACTTCATAATGCATTTCTGTCCACGATGTTGTGTTATTAGGTGCGGAAAAGTCCAGCATTATTGACATTTTGTTGACATTGTACGGTCTGTGTACATAGAAACTATTTTGCACAAGGGCAACCAAGAGAACATAGTACGATTGACTTGACACCATCATGGTTAGTAATTGAATGAATTTAAGATTCATTTACACATCCCTAATAAATTGGCGTAATGGTTAATATAATGCAAACGATTTTTTCACCAAGAAAACTTTTATTTTAATAGAAACATCATACAACTTAGTCAAATTCATCGTAACCTATATATTTTGCAATAATATCATCACACATGTATTTAGCGCCATACTGTTTTAATTGCTGATGTAGTCCATACTGATTCATAAGCACACATAGGTCCTCCAAGGAGATGGAATTAGCCAGATAAAGATTACAAGACTTGACACCATTTTCATATTTTTCCACATCCTGCGCGGAAAACCAACCATTAGTGTCGGGTTCTTGCTCAAGTGCTTGAAGTAAAAAGTACATGTCTGTTTCTAAACTATTACGTAGCAAATAGACAGCTTGTCTTATACAGGAAGATTGATGATGGCAGCAGGCATCACCACGACGACCAGTAATACTACAACCGGACATTTTGACTCTTCAAAGGTTGCTATTGTAGTGTGAAAAATAAAAAGCAAGCCTGTTTTTTATAGTCATTTATTAATACTTATACTAATTGGATTGGAGGGTGGTACAACACGCGTCCAGCTTATCTAAATCCCTGACAATTTTGCCTAGGTTCATAGTAGCAAGTTCTAGAAAGTAGCAGCTACGTTCACATTTGTTCAAGTTACACATGCTGATAATTGATTGCAAAAGATGGCTGCCGTTTTTGACATTGTG